CGTTTTGGTTACAGGGATGATCACTATCAGTATGACCGCTCAGGGCCGTATAGTTACAGATCCATTGGTGGTATGAAGCCTTCTATGTCAGACACCAATTTATCAGAAGCTGGACTTTTTCTGTACAAAAGCAAGAATACTTTTGACTACCAAGCTGGGGAAACTGATGTAGCAGTAGACTTAACTTCTGGCAGAGTAATGACAGGTCAGTATGATAAGGCATCAGACCTTTCTTTGAAATATAATAATGGTGTTGCTCATCTCATTTCAGGATGAATTGTTTTTATTTTATATTTTTTGTTTCCCCTTTTTGTTATACTTTATGTTGAATGATGTGGAAGCTATGCCGGAATTTACACGTGTATTTTTTTGTTTCTTCTTTTTACGTCAAGTGTTTTGCTCAAGAGGTTCCTGCTTGTTCCTGCATGTTCAGCAAATGGTTTTCCCCCCTCCCCACTAAATGCCTAAAGTTGATCATTAAAATGAAGATTTGCATGACACCCTCTCCCCATTCATTTTACTCGTCTTCATGCGATGGCATTCAGAATCCACAAGAAATGCTTTGTTTTGGGAAACGGGACAGTAACCCTGCCATGTAATTTCAGGTGAAATTGTGGATTACTCAAGCAAGATTACTGGTCCTTATCCAGAGACTCGGCAAGTTGTTTCTGGCATGGGGATCAGTGCACCTCAGTATTCCCAAGCAAGAATAGTGCCAACAGTAGGATCCCCATACGGCATTGGGAGTGTTTTAAGATCATCCAATGGAGTTGTGTATTCATCAGTTGCAACTCCAGTCCCATCGACCTATGCTATCACAACGCAACCAGGTTCTATTTTCAGTACTTCAGTATCTGCTCTCCCAACAGCTGATAAAATGCCCTCGTTATCAACCTTGCAACAGAACCAGGCACCTCCAAGATCATACAGTTTCTTGACCACTATGTCATCAGACAAAGAGGGTAAGATTACTGACATAGACACTGAGCCAGTATTACACCCCCACTCTATAGAAACTATCACAAATGAGCCCACCAACTTGTTACCTGTCTTTACTACAGCTTCAGAAGCTTTCATGGATGTTATTCAGGATGAAGCTACACTTCTCATTGCCCCTCAAGAAGGCAAACAGCAACATCTTGACTTGGAGCGTGAATATCTAGAGCTCGAGAAACTGAAACAGCAACGCTTTGCAGAGGAGCTAGAGTGGGAACGCCAAGAAATACAAAGATTCAGAGAACAAGAACAATTTATGGTTCAAAAAAAGCTTGAGGAATTGCAATCTATGAAACACCATCTCCTATATCAGCAGGAGGAAGAGCGACAGGCTCAATTCATGATGAGACAGGAAACATTAGCTCAGCAGCAACTACACATTGAACAAATCCAGCAACTTCAACAGCAGCTTCACCAACACTTAGAAGAACAAAAAATTCACCAAATCTATCAGTATAATTATGACCCTTCAAGAACTGTGTCTCCACCAACGACCACAGATCCAGTCATTATTGAAGACCAATATGCAGCTGCTGTAAACAGCCAGTTTTGGACTGGTGAGGAAGCTACTTCAACCACTTCTGCTGTTCTAGGCATTGAAATTCCACAAAGCCAAGCCTGGTACACATTTCAGTCAGATGGTGTTACTCAGTACATTCCTAGGCCTGGCATACTAAGTTCTGTTTCAGATATGTCTCTTAAGGACATTGATGTGAGAGAGGAAAAACAACTGAAAAAGAGGAGCTCCATGCCAAAGCTGCTTGGCCCATATGAGGAACTTGATGAAACCATGGAAGAGGAGCCCAGGTGTCTTAAAAATATAGCAGAGAGTGGTGTCCAAACTGATGATGAGGATAGTGCAGATACAAACTACACGGACCAAAGACAGAGAACTAAAAAGAGTGTTGATACAAGTGTCCAGACAGATGATGAGGACCAAGATGAATGGGAGCCAACCAGCAGATCAAGAAGAAAAACTCATGCCGGGAAATATGAAGTTACCACTGAGGTGGACAAGGCTAAACCATTCTCCAAATTTTCCAGCACTGCAGTACAGACAGTAGCAGAGATTTCTGTACAAACAGAACCTGTAGGGATGATAAGGACCCCATCGATAAGGGCCCAGCTGGATGCTAAGGTAGAAATAGTAAAACACATTTCAGCTCCAGAAAAGACGTATAAAGGCAGAAGTTTGGGATGTCAGACAGAAACAGACTCAGACTCCCAAAGCCCTCAATACCTCACAGCCATCTCCCCTCAAAAAGACAAAAAACGCCCAACACCCTTAGAAATAGGTTATTCAACCCATCTCCGGCCAGAACCTACACTCCAGGTAGCACCTTCCCCTCCAAAATCCCCCAAAGTTCTCTATTCTCCCATTTCCCCTGTTTCTCCAGCTGCAGTTATAGAGTCAGCATTTGTGCCCTATGAAAAATCCCTAAGTGAAGACATTAGTCCTCAGAAGATTGCACATGCTGATGTCACCAAGATTACTCAGCTGAGCCCAAAGTCTGCCAAGGTGATGCAGCGTTCCTTGTCTGACCCTAAACCTCTGAGCCCAACAGCTGAAGATCCCTCAAGAAGTCATTTTCAGTACTCTGATGGTTTCTTGGTAAGAGTTCATCTTTTTTATAATACAAGATTGTCCTCAGTGACATTCTACACTTTTTAATGAGGTCCAATTTACTAAGATCCATATAGATGATCTGATCAGTGTACCATTCTGAAAATGAAGTTCTGGTATGTTAGAAACCTGACAAGGGAATTCATTTTCGTCTTAATTTTTAAAATGTTCTTTTTAATTAGATCACTTTTATAGACTTGGGGATACAAGAATAATATATCAAGATGCTTCCTCAAAGTGCAGAGGCATTGCCCTGAAACAGAAGTTAATTGTGAAGAAATATAAGAAAAGATTTAGTGGTTTCTTCACAGATTTAAATTAGTTACTTCCCCCCAAAAAAATAAAATTCAGTGTCTACTTTAAAATAGTTTAGAATACATATACCCAAAGAAGCATGGATGTTTGTTAAGGCATATTGTTGTCTTCCCCCATTTTTTTTTTTGCTCACTTTAAGCATGTGAGACAGAAAGAGAGAGAGAAACATGAAATCACAGTTTGACACAGTTCCTAAATGTATGTAAGGCAACATGTCTAATACTCAGAGGTCATTTGGGGGGGGATCGCGGGGGATCGCAGTTCCCCCGGGTGAGGTACGGGGGCGGGGCACATGACGAAGCCCCGCCCCCTGCTTCCGGCCACCCCACTTCCGGCCCTCATTCAGCCAGGAGGAGGCAGGAGAAGAGGGAGGGTAAGTTGCTTTCTCCCTGCCTCTCCCCACCCCTGCCTGCCTGGGGCCAGGGAGGGCCTTTGCGGGGCTTCCTTGCACTCCCACCGGCCTTGCAGGTCCACCGCCGGGCCCCTCATGGGGCTCAGCAGTGGAGCTGCAAGGCTGGTGGCGGCGGCCGGGACCGTTGGGGGCGGGGTGTGTGGCCTTATGACACACTTCCGGTGATGTCAGGGGGTGTGGCCTTATGACACACGTCTGGTGATGTCAGGGGGTGTGGCATATGCTAATGAGTTATGCTAATGAGTTCCCCTAGCTCTTTTTCTATGAAACGACCCCTGCTAATACTACTGCATCCAGGAAGAAGTAGCAAATGTCAGTACAGGTTGATGCATGATAGAACAAAAAATCCTAACTTTAAATACATGCTAATTGGTTGTAAACTGTCTCAGACTGAAATTGAAAGAGATCTTGGAGTTATAGTGCACAGTTAATGAAAATGTTGATTCATTTTGCAGCAGCAGTAAAAACATCAAGCTCCATGGTGAAGGTTATTATTGGGAAGAAAATGACTGATGTTATGATGCCACTGTATAGAGCTATTGTACAGCTTCATTTGGAATACTGTGTGCAGTTTTGGTTGCTGAATCTCAAAAAAGATATTACAAAGCTGGAAGATGTGCAGAAGAGCAATCATTTGCAACTGGATTTTCCTGTTGCACACACAGAAATCCAGTTGCAAATTATTGTTTTAGTGCATCAGGTGTACATTATCCAACAATGTGTGAAGGCAGCCCAAGACCTGTTTTCTGTTGCCCCAGAAGGTTGGATCAGAACCAACGGGTTGAAATTAAATCGAAAGAGTTTTCCGCTAAACATTAGGAAGAACTTCCTGACAGTGGAACAGGCTTCCTTGGCAGGTGGTAGGCTCTCCTTTGGAGGTTTTCAAACAGAAGCTAGATGGCCATCTGACAGCAATGCTGATTCTGTGAACTTAGGCAGATCATGAGAGGAAGAGAAGGCAGGATAGGATCAGTGCTTAGGTCTTGTGGCCCTTTCTTACATACCCAGGGAAATGCTGATTGCCACTTTGGGGTCAGGAAGCAATTTTTCTCCAGGCTAATTTGGCTGGAGAACCTGCATGTTTTTTGTCATTTTCTGGGCATGGAACAGGGGTCACTGGGGGTGTGGAGAGGGAGGTATTTGTGGATTTCCTGCCTTGTGCAGGGGGTTGGACTAGATGACCCTGGAGGTCCCTTCCAACTCTATGATTCTAAGATGAGTAAGGGGTTGGAGCACCTTTCCTATGAGGAAAGGCTGAAGAGTCTGGAACTTTGGAGTTTAGAAGAAAGGTAGCTAAGGGGAAACATGATAGAGATTAATAAAATTACGTAAGGGGTGGATAGATAACTTTTCCCTTTTCCTGTAGTACCAGAACTTGGGGCGTCTAATGAAGTTGATGGCCATAGATCAGCACAAAAGAAAGTCTTTGGTCCAATTAATAATTAAATTGAAAAATTCACTGCCAGTGGGGTGGATCCTACCTCTAGCCTACCACTCCACTGAACAAAGTATGAAGTTTCCAATTCCCCCCCCCCCACCAATGTCATATATATTTAGGCAAGTGCAATGGCTGTTGTTGCAGCTCAAAGTCACTTGGTTTCTTCAGTTGTGTGGTGTGTACCCTGCAATTAGCAATTATGACAGAGAGCATTTAGGTTAACAGAAAATGCCAACAAGCAGCAAAATCTGACAAGAGGCTGCTTTTATTGCTACAGCAGCCAACTGCAGAATCGGATTGTTGTTGTTGTTGTCATTGTTCAGTTGCACAGTTGAGTTCGTCGCATCAGTAACACTGTCTAACCATCTCATCCTTTGCTGTCCCCTTCTTTTGTTACCTTCAGTCTTTCCCAGCATCAGGGGCTTCTCCAATGAGTACTCCCTTCTCATTTGGTGGCCAAAGTATTTGAGCTTCAGCTTCAGTATCTGGCCTTCCAGAGAACAGTCAGGTTTGATTTCCTTTAGGATTGACTGATTTGATCTCCTTGTAGTCCAAGGGACTCTCAAGCATCTTCTCCAGCACCATAATTCAAAAGCATCTATTCTTCATTGCTTGGCCTTCCTTATGGTCCAACTCTCACAGTCATACATTACTTGGCAGATGGTTTCCACCTTGAAACAGCTGCCACTGGAGGGATTGGTAACCTGCAAGCCTCTGTTAGGTGCAGGCCTCATGCCAGGGTTGGAAGTAAATGTGGTTCTTTTGGTTGATAGTGATTGTGAATGGTGGCTCTCCGTGAGAAGCAGAGCGAGTACCATTCTGAATCCTGGGGAGCATCATTCCCTTGAAAGGGTAAGCACACATCAGCAGTTGAGTGTCTGGAGACCCCACTGAAGCATGGTGGTCAAAGGTGTTAGCAGCATCTCACTTTTACTCCATGCATGATGCTTCCCAGGTTCTTAAGGTCTGAGAACTGCTTACTTGGCTGGGATTTGTTAACAGACTCCATAAATAGGATTGCATGAGTGAATCAATCCTTAGTTTGTGTGTTATCAAACCAGGGCATCAGTGTCATAGTATATATAGCCAATGCTGAAGGAAACGGTGTGCCTATTTAGTGTACTTTGAGTATCAGGAAGCGTATCCCTGGAATTTGTCTGTTCCTGTGTTCCTACCTAACCCTTGACCTGGGACCAAACAATAACATTATTTCATTTCACATTAGATCTTTAGTCCATTTACCATCTTTCAGTATACAAATACTGTGTAAACTGTTTCCTAACAAGCTTGAGTTACAACTGTTTCCTAACAAGCTTGAGTTACAAGCTGTGTAAACTGTTTCCTAACAAGCTTGAGTTAGGTGTTCACTCTTTGAAATATTGCAGTCAGATGTCAATCCTTCTCAGAATATCATTACTATAAATGGTCATTAATGAACATCAGCCATGACATATCTTTGTAGTGTAACTCTGTTTACTTCCTCATTGCTTTTGCAAAGCAAGCCGAGTTGAGCTTTTCATCCTGCCCAGTCATTTGCAGAGCTGGAAGAAGCATGCAAGGCATTGCACTGGCAGTGATGCCTTTCTCCTCCTCCGGCCACTGAAGCCCCAGAAGCCCCATGTCATGGTCTCTGTCATGTTGTGGGCCAAGACCAGCCACGTTTCCCCCCCTTTACTGCTGCCACCATCACTTCAGGTAAAACCCACCCACCCTCTCTCTGTCACATAATTGCCCAAAGTCAACATCGCAGGGGTATTATTCAGTAGCATGCCAAGGAGCCAGGCAGATGGGTAAGGATTTGTGCAGACTCTCTCAAGTTAAACAAAACTTTATTTCTACAAGGCACAAACTCAGGGTATTGCAAAGGACAGGATTTAGGCACACTAAGGAAAATAAACTTAAAGGCAGGTTCTAACCAAAGTACATGCAATCTGTGTTGCATCTGAATGTATGTGTATCTGCAACTCTCTCTAGCATAATTCCTGTCATCCTTCATGGCAAACCAGATGCTCCAAAGAGTTCCCCACAAGGAGTCTCCCAAGAACTTAAACTAAGAAGGACTTATGTCTGACGAAGGGAGCTTTGACTCTCAAAAGTTTATACTCTGAAACTCTTGTTGAGGTGCTACTGGACTTGAATCTGTTTCAAAATGGGTAACATAAATTCCCATCAGCTAGCCCCTGACAATAATCAGATTGCCACCTTCTGGATCAGCTGCAGTTTCCAGGCCATCTTGAAGGGCAGCCCAACATAAAACACATTACAGAAATCCAACCCTGGGGTTACAAAAACATGGATCCATGTGGCCAGATCAGCGAAGTCTAAAAAAGTTGACAAACCAGATGCTGCTGGCAAAAGGCACTCTTTTTAATAAGGAATTTTATTAGTTTATACATAGAAAGAGGGAAAGGGTAAAGAAGGGAAAGGAAAAGATACAGAAATCTGTTTTTAAAAAGTCTAATTTAACATTTTGCATGCAAATCTCCTCATAAAAGCTTATAACCATTATTCTTATTGTTCGTTTAATCTTAGTTTCTCAGTACTTGTGTTTTAACAAGTCATAAAAGGCCCTCCATGGTCCCATAAATTCTTCTTCCATTTCTCCTTTTATTATATTTGTCAATTAGTCCATTTCAGCACAATCCATAATCTTCCTTGTTAACTCATAAAGCATTGGGATTTTCAGTGTCCTCCATGTCATTGCAAATAAAAATTTGGCTGCAGTTACAACATGTAAAATAAAGTATCTATGGTTCTTATGTAAGTCATGTGGTTAACAGTTTAACAGGAATATCTCTGGTTTAAAAGGTATTGTAATATTCA